CATTGCATGTCGCGAGATTAACTCCAACATGCATATCTACTCTTTTCCAGTGATCATTCCATAAGAGCCGTTTATAGTACATACCATACGGTATACCACAACGCATCAACCCCTCCCCCCCAGACTCCCAACTAACAAAAGATATATACCAAAGAAAACTACATCATGTACCTGTTCATGCCAATTTTTCGACCCGAAAAAAAAGAAGAGGACATCAAATCATTAGCTCGTCCTGTGCATGGCATTTTCGTTTCCAACCCAGCGTTTCCTATACCTCTCCACAATCCGCAGTGCTTCCGGCCCATCTATTCATTTTCTATACACGACAGTTTTTGCAAGTTTCGCATACCCTCCGCCATCCATTTACATAACGATGCAAAACTAAAAAAAACTAAAAAAAAAAAAAGAAAGATGTCTGATGAGCCATCGTAAAGAGACGTAAACGCAGCTTGCATACCCGTTCCTGGCATTAGCCCCGAATCCCCATCCAGACAAAAAAAAAGACAAAAGGTAAAAAAAAACCCCCCGTGGTTCAAAATGCAGTGTGCCGAGCCAAGTGCCGATGGACCGTCGGCGGGACGCGGATACACGTGCATCACATGATGATCTTTTTCTTTTCCAGCTTTGTAGGAGAAAAAGCTTGGGACCGAAAAGCGGTTTTCGATAGCGGGTCTGGGTCTAACGGGCGGTGAGAGGGCATGCTGCACGATAGGCGCGTAATTGAGGAGGGGCCATGTAAACACATGCTTGCTGTACATGTATTGTGTGTGTGTGTGTGAGAGAGAGAGAGAGAGTTTGCACAATGCACCGTGATGCGTGAGTTCTCTCATTGCGTGAGTGAAGTCGGAAGAAAGGAACCTCAATGGAACTTTCTTCTCATTTCCTCACATCATTCACAATCGACTCCTTGACGTACCAGACATGGCGTCCGCTTCCGACAAGTCTCCCTTCAACCCTGGGAAGGTTGTTCTCCCCCACATCCCTTTTTTGCTCTACCACCTTGTCTGTCCACTCGAGCCACGCTTTGTCTTTCAAGCACGCGCCCCAAGCCAGACTCTTGCTCGTGAACAGACCAATGCAAAACGCTGATTTGGGGTCTTCATGAAGTGCCAGGTAAACAGTGACCTCGCTTCTTTTCGCCACGTTAAGGTCCTGGTGGCTGTCGAATCGCGGGACTGGCTGGCTGAGCGGATGCGGAATATCAAGGCGCATGTGCTGTCCGTCTTTCTTTGGGGTTTCGCCCGGCACAGCGGCAGTCACGCCGGTGGATTGCAGCGGGTGCGAAACGATTTTGATGCGGCCGGTTGGACTGAGATATTCTGAGCCATCCAATAGCCCTTCTCTTGAAAATGAGTACGCGCCATGTTGGAATGCGCCTGCCGTGACTGTGTCGATGCTTGAAAATACTCCGAGGAACTGGCATGGCTGTGTATTGTACGGATACGGATCGTATTCCAGGACAAAGAGATTGGGCAAGGGCTGCGCCAGGCTCATCATTGACTGCGGCCTGCTTTTCTGGAGCCGACTGCGCGGTCTGTCCTGTCTTTGGTGCAGCGACTGTACCGTTGGCGGCTTATGCAGTTTCCCGTACTTTTGCTTTCGCTCCGTGACCGCGTCGCTCATTGATCGTCTCCGCTTCCCCTTTGTCTCAGCTCTTTCTTCGTACTTGCTGCGCACATAATTGCAAATTGCCCCCAATTCCCGGAATTCAAAGTGGCCCATTGTTCAGAGGGCAGCGGGCGCAACCCGCAACGTTGAAAGTGAGTGAGTGCCCGGGTCAGCCGGTTTTCGGCAAAAGCGAATGTTGTGGTTTGATAGGGGTGCTGATAAGACAAGGGGGGGGGCAATACGACCACGACAACAGGTAACGACAGAGAGAGCAACGACGGATGTGGTAGAAAACTGCTAGCAGCGAGCGAAACTTTAGGTCATGTATCCATTTGAGCCAATTCGATTGATGAGACGGCACGTTTCACTGTGCGACAGTTGTCGCAGGCATGCATATGGGGGTTGCGTTGGCAAGGTAATCATCATTGGTACTTGGTACGTCATTAGGGGCCGACACAGCCACCCGGCTAGCCACTTGCAGACATTTTAACAGACCTCCTTACTCCGGTCCCAGACTCCATCTCCTGGTACCAAATCCTATGGACCTCATTCTGGCCATTCGAAGGATTCCGGCAGTTAATCCAACCGGACTCGGCATGACGGTCGGGAGATTCGGACATGTACTTGTATTTTGTACACATACACAGTTCCTAGGGAAAGTGGCGACGAATGGTGCACGCATGATACGTGCTACGCGCGTCGCTGCTTTTTTTCATTGATTTCCCAACGCAGACTGAAAATTGTTCTTTTCTTCTTGTTACCTGCACGTCTTACACACAGGCCTTGAGTGTCTCAACATATTCCCCAATTGAGCCTATCACATTTGTGTAGGCACACCCCTCCAGCACCAACGTGAGAGTCGGAAAGTCATGGTGGGTTGCATCATCACCGCCTTTTTATGTACACAGTATTATGTACTTTATTTTTAGGGTGTGTTCTAAACTGTGACAAGACTTGTGTATAGTGAAGGTGATTCTTGGGCGATCGTTACAACGTAAAACCTAGTGCAGCAGTCGCTCACTATTCCATGCATGTCCACTGAGCTTCAACGTTGGCTCTAGAAACTCCTTTTACTGCCATGCAGTCTTGACCCACTCCTCCACATCTGCCCAAAGCACCTCTGGCCTCTCCAATGCGGCGAAATGTCCACCCTTCTCATGTGCCCTGAAGAAGACGACCTTTGCTGTTTTCTCTGCCCAAGCCTTTGGAATCGGCGAAAGCTCATACGGAAACCAGCTGTAACCTGTGGGCTTATCAACATACAACGTTGGCCTGTTATCTCTATATGTGTAGATGGATGTTGGATAGCAACCAGTCAACCAGTATAGCGTGATATCTGCCAGGATGGTGTTGAGAGACGGTCTCGTCGAAGGATCGGACCACGCGAGAAACTTCTCTCCAATCCAAGCTAGTTGAGCAATAGGTGAACTGGATAGTACCAGGCCGATGGTAGAGGGCTTCGTCTCATGTTCCTTGGCATACGCGTGTCCTATAGCGATGAATGCGTCGCCTCTCTCAATGCCCACCTTCTCCGCGCTACTGATCTCGTCGCTGGGCGAAGAGTAGTCCTTGATGTCCTTAGTGAGCATGAAGTTCAAGTGCATACCCTTGCATTCAGGGTACGTTGCAGCAATCTGCCGCGAGAATATACTGCCAATGTCGCCGCCCTGTACGAGATAGCCTGATTTACCAAATCCCAGTGATATCATGAGCTTATGCATGATGCGCGAAGTATCGGCGGCTTTCCAGTCCTTATCTACCGGTGGATCGGAAGAAAGAGCAAAGCCGGGGAGAGAGGGCACGATGATGTGATATGGTAGAGTGTCTTGCGTATACTTTCCGCGCAGCAGATCCATCATTGGTACGAACTCGAGGAAAGAGCCGGGCCACCCGTGAAAGAAGGCAATGGGGATAGCATCAGGCTTGGTAGAGAAGAGAGCGACAAAGTGAATGTCGTACTTGCCGCCATCATCGTCGTTGATGGTGGTTTTGAAATTAGGGAAAGAATTGATAATGCTTTCCTCTTTGCGCCTAGAAAATTTCAATTAGAGGAGCTGTCTAAGCATTCGACAGAAAGACATACCAGTCAAATGTCTCGAGCCACTCCTTCTTCGCATCAACTATCCACTTTCGACTTATTCCAAACCTGCCATGTCCACCTTCGTCCTGCTTGTTCTCGTACGTCTCCTTTGCAATTGGACTAAGTTTGAGCAAAGTCTTGAAATCTTGCAGCTTCTCTTCCTCAACATGCAGCTCAAACGGTGTTGTTTGTTGAGCATCCTTGGGTACAATGCCGAAAGGCTTAGGTGCTTCCATTGTTCCTGTGAGTACTAGGTGTTTCCACAAACTATTTTCACAGGCTTTAAGAGATTTGGTTCAATTGAAGAGGGTGTGCTTGGAGAGTCTTTATGTTTGTGATGGGGTTGTGTATGTAATCAACTGGGCTTACAAATGCCCCTCTTCCGTATTAGGCAAACCCGGAAAATCAATGCAACCACATACTACGTAAGTAGTTGCCGTACACTAACACTACATCGTCAGCAATAAGAGAATTCGTCTACAACTCTTCTTAAAAATCGCACACGCGTAGCAAGAAAATTTACCATGGTACAAGGTTCAATTGATACTTTAGATATTGGAGAAGGTTGTGGTTGTGCTCTACTTTCTTGCTTCGGCATCGAGGTTGTAAAGTCTTCTTTTTCCGGTTCTCCAAGTTATCGGAAAGGCATACTTATGCATTATTAATACAGGCAAAAAGCGAACGTCAGAGGTACATCCCAGATTTGAGCGTTTGTTTTACACGTTTTTTCGTCTAACAGTATCGCATGCACGCCGAAAAGTAGTCGTACTTTCAAATCTCCAACATACAACGTTTGTTGTGCCCCACAGCTACCACGTAGTTCCTTGCTGACCACGTATTCCGCATGACTCAGTTCCCATCACACAGGCAACCCTTATAGATAAGAAAACTATGCTTTCACGACAATTTGTTATGCGTGCATAAATTTTCCTCTGGGCGCATTTTCAAATGGATACTGCGATAGGCTATTCGCAAGTTCTCGAAATAGCAGAACAAGTTGGGGGACCCAAGGGTACCCAAGCAAGGTGGCCGATCGAGTTCCAGATACATGTGGGGAAATGACAGGGAAGCTGCTACATATAGTGGTAGGGATGTCCAGACTGAACGAATGTTTGGTTAATTTAGTCTGCGACTGAATCGTGCGAGTATATTATAGACACAAAAAAGTCAAGTAGCCAAGATGCGGAAATATAAGATTATACGCGTGAACGGCAGAGTATACGCGTATATGCTTCGCGAGGAATTAGAGCATTGGCACAGACAAGAGACGCATATTTGAACCAAGAAATAAATGAAATTATTATACGGGCAGTTATTCGCCCATTATCATCCACCATGCTCCACCAAATAATATGCTAACAACCAAGATAGTGAGGATGGCTGCACCTGCCCTATCCGCGGTTGTTATCGCATTGTGCTTGACCACGAAACTCCCAACATCACTTCCAGCATTTGGATCGTTTTTACTGATGCCTCCCGTGTCCAATCCGACCGGTCCAGCGACCTGGTCAATGAGGAGATTTTGCATCACCTCCAATGCAGACATTTGTTCTCCGACGCCGACTTCTCCGTCGTTTACGCCGTTCCTCCACCAGCGAAGACCACATCCGCCTTTTCCTGGTCCGCATTGTTTTGCTGCTGCCGCAGCAGAAGCCCTGAGCTTGGGCATAATCTTTTCTCTTGTCCAGGGAGCGGTCAACATTGTGTATCCCATCCAGCGGCTGAGATAGGCCTTGAAAGAGCGCTGGTCGTGATCGCAAAGTCCGTTTCGCTCGCAAGCTACTTCGCTCATGACGTCCGGTGCGCCTTCCGGGTTGAAGAAAACACCAACACCGTCGATAATTCCCTCCAAACGTGTTCGCCAATATTCGGCTTGGCTCTGCAGTAAGTTAGAAGAGAGTTCAGAGAAGAAAGGGTAAATCCTAAGGGAGAAACTTACAGCATTACCCCTAGTTTCTGACATGTTCCACAATGCTGCAGCACCCGACATATGAATACCTGCGTTGTATGTCCATTGGATATGGTTCAACTCTGTGCAGTTTTGTCGCTCGCTGGTTCCATCATAGAAATGATAATCTTTGCTCATCAACCCGACACTGAGTTCCCACTCCCATGCTTTTATCGCCCACTCTGTATAGGTGTCGTTTTTGGTGTATTTTGCAAGCCTGGCAGCAATGTTGAAGAAGCATCCGTTTGAGATTGTGTTCTTATAGTCGAAGCCGTTGTTGAAAGAGAAAATCTGCCAGTTAAGTCCACCTCCACAGGTCCTAGGATTCCAACGCGGCACCTGCGTGTTGAAAACTGCAATAGCGAGTGATAACCAGGACATTTGTCCTTCGGCGTCTGGGAGCTTATTTTCAGCTGCTGATAGGGCCGTCAATGCCCAAAAGGCTTGATCGTCATTTCCTAGAGTACTGGTTTGGTTGGGCGGCATAAACGCCTGTGGTTGACCTATTTGATGCACCAAGGCTTGTGTTGTGATATTATTGTATGTATCGTCACCCGTGTAATACCAGTAGTCGACAAAGGAACCAAACATGGCACCACATAGCCACCAGTAGTAGGGGTCTGGCAAGTTTCCCGGGACGTCTCCGGGTCGGTCACCGGTGTACCATTCTCGAAGACCTGCAGCGACAACTTTGGTCGCTTGCTTGATAGAAGCTGATTATGTTAACGGAGCGTACATAGACTTATTCAGGGGAGAGCGAACCTGGATCGTCAACATTCAACTCTAGTGCGGATGTGGTGATTGGCGACAGTATTCCTACTGTGCCGAAAAACAGGCTGGAAAGCCTCATGACGGATCCTCAAGATTATCACGAATATAAAGCGGGCATGCAAAGAGTCGGCATATGGCGAGGTGGGGAAACGAAGGTGCGTCAAGTGGCTTGCAAAGGACGAGAGTGAAAGAAAGAGCGAGTGTTGGAGAGCGAGTGTAACGCAAGTATGTCGTAGGGAAAAGGAGAAACCTCGAATTCATCCTACGTAGATTGCGAGGCGCGATGAGGTTATGAAACCCCTTGGGAGGTGAGGCCAAGTCATGGCGCGGTGCCGCAGCAGGTGCTGGGCGACAGTGCGACGCTTGGAAGTCATCTCTCCGCGTGGTTCAAGGCCGGGGTTGGGTGCTACGACTGGGTAGCAGCCTTGGCAGCCGAGCCTGAGACGCTTAAAAAGCGTCTCATCTCACAAGTACGGCCTGCGCCCCGTTTGAAATTCAGACCAAAGCGGTAGGCCTGACACGAAGCGCCAAGTATCACGGCGGTGTTGGCGTCCCTTGGACGAAGGTTGGCGCCGAGCGCGGGTGCCACCAGCACTGCCAAATCCTGCCAGACGACATCCGCAGCGTCCGCCCATCTGCATCTACGCTCAAGACTGACGGCATCGACAGCGCCGCCCCTGTTTCCTGCTTGATGGGCGATCCGGGGAGATCATGCGCGCTACATGGACAGATCATCGTGTCTTCCTCTGGACAAAGCCGCCAGCGGATCACGTCCAACGGGCGACAATCTCGCCTCCTGGCAAGCCTAGCGACGAGTTTCAACAAGCCCAGAGTAGCAACGCCAAAACAACATTTACCATGGACCATTTTGCTGTATTTTGAGGAACCAAGTACAACGTCAGAAAACGTCCCCCATGCGCTACACAGTGTGGGTTACGGGCTTGTCAGAACTACGGGCGTGTCATAGCTACGTCACCGTACATACTTGCTGTAGCCTCTCCTTTGGAAACAAAGACAGCAAAGCTTATTGTAGAACATTTGAGCGAGAACGAGCTATGGGCATTTGAGGCAGCTCAGTTTCATTCAGCACCAGCGTGCATCCATCTGTTGTGAGACGATCCAACTCCTGAGCGCTCTGGCCTTATTGCTCATGTCCATGTTGGTCTTCGCGTCCATATGGCTTGCAGCGGAAAAGGCGTCCACGACTTTTGTAACCGTCGCGCCGTCGTCTTGGTCAAAGGGAACCATGTCGAGAAGTTGCCGTAACGAGATCGAGCCTAATTTAATCCGCGATTGTACAACATAATCGACGCTAGCACTATCCCTGTAATCCAATGTCGTTCGTGCTACCAACCCCCACCGGTCTAGTTTCGTAGAGCATTGACGAGCATACAGCTGTTCTGTTGATGCCAATCGTACAAAGGCCCTCACCACTGCGCTCCGCGTAACACGATGCGAGGACGAAATCTCCAGAAGACCAAGGAACTCGTCGAGAGAAGCAGTGCCGATGAAAGTATGGCGGTGCTGGTACTCCATTTCCCGTTCTTCAGCAGTCAAGATGTCCATCGCGGCATTACATCGAGCAGTGCGCAGCTGGTGTCGTGTACTGACAGGGTCACAGACCTGGCTAGAGGACCCGTGACATTGGTGCTGTCTACCTCGTCTCTGGATGGGCATTGCGACGTGCTCCTGGACTCGATGGAAAGCTGTATACAAGCTTTGGTTTGTTGGCCTATTGTCCTCAACTACTGTACAGTCATGCATTAAATGGCTATCTGTCGTTTGGCTCATGGGGGATACATCCAAATCGTCGTCGTCAAACAATGTCATATCCGAAGTCGGTGATGCGCGCTCGCTCGGGCTTTCCATTTGAGACTCTGGTATAAATATATTGAGGGCATGTCGATCTTCCGGTGCAGGAAAGCGGAATGTAACCATCTCCTCTTGTCGCGAGCTCGGAGTTTGTTGGCAAGGCGCCATAGCGTTAGGTTGTTCTTTCAAAGTACTCAGCTCTGTCTCAGCATTTGTTTTTGTCGACCGGGTTTTTCTTGAGGCCTCTAAGCTGCTCCTCTCTGCATTTAGTTGAAGAGCGACTAATACCGCACTATTCGTACAGTCGCGGTCTAACATCGGTCGCCATACACTAGACCTTCGGCGGTGCACTGTTAGATACGAGCGGCATGTCAGCCGGGCTTTACGGTTATCCCCTTAATTCGTGCACAGACAGACTTACTTTTTGCTGGTTCAAACCCTTTTCAATGAGACGATCTGGGCAGTATTTGAGTCTGCGCCACGATGTTCTTGGGCTGCGTTGAAGGAAAGTGAGATTATACGCGCTTGTGATGTGTGCGTGGCACTTCCTTGGAGATTGTTGATTGTTTATTTTTATTTTATTTTTACGGCGGAGAACTTTGTTTGCTAGTCGCACATGTTGCCACGGTTGCTGGCTTCGTGGTGGCTTTAAATGCCCGAGGGTCTGGAAAAACATGTGAGCTTTGCGCGCTTGTAGAGATGGTGCAGTTGTGACGATGAGGTGAGAATCACGCGTAGCAGGACACATGGCAGGAAACGTGTAAGCTCCACTTTCGCTAGCCTGCAGGGTTACATACTATGGGGGGACACACCAAAACAGGCGGACTGTGTAATACCAACAGGGTAATCTTCTTGCTGGAGCAACCAATACGTCGAGCGAGAGGGCAAGGTAACCGTCATTCTGAGGCTTTCCTATACGTAGGTAGAGTATGTGGGCTAAACAAGCAACCTGCTTGCAATCAACAAACGACATAGTACTACCAAAATAAGCCCTCAACGCTCCAATTGGAGCACGTGAGTGTATGATTGGGCAGTTATGTTTTTCTTGCGTTCAATCTAGGCCACAACCAGCAAACATGCCAGGAACTGTACAATGCAATGTCACACTAAGAGGAACCTGCGAAATACACACTTATCACACACACACACACACATCAAGTATGCTCACGAGAAAGGATAAATGAAATCTTAGCGTGAAACTTATATTGTGTTTTTACCGACCTCTAGACCACTTGCCCTCTTCCTCTGCCACGCGCCATACGTACACTGTGAGGAATGAACTTGAGGGCAGACATACTCGACGTTAGACTATCAATGGGATCTACAGTTTGCACTGGTGAGGTGCGTTTGGGAGAGACAGTCGCTTGGGGACTTCCACGCCCAATTGAACGACCGGGGCTTTGACCTTGGCCAAACCCTCCACGTCCATGAAGCTTGGTAGGATAGCGTCGAGTCTCTCCTTGGTTGTGTTCTTCTTTCTCATCTTCATCCTGGTCGCGAACGACATCCATGCTGTCACCTACTGTACTTGCACTCGACTCACCTCTCTTCCTCCCAGTCGATCCACTGGCACCTCCTGCTGAGCTCAATGTAGAGCTTCTCCGTCGGTGAGGGGGTATCAGCATGCTGCTTCGTCTATCGATACCATCTTTTACGACAATGAAATCGTACTCGCGGGGAAACTGATGCTTATCTATGCAGTGCAAACGGCGCTTCTGAGGTGTGCTACATAGCCGATCGCACTCTGGCAAAAGACAGGCGTACTGGAACAGATCAGTTGGAAAGCCCATAGCATGCTGTTGGACATACTTATCACCCGCCACACTTGGAACACCCCCGATGCAGATGGAGGTCTTGTCACCGTTTGAGTAGGAACGAGAATATGGGGGCTAGGGGGCGGACATGCAAGAAACGAAGCAAAGACGCATGACCTACCGTTTTTTCTCCCTGATCCCGTTTGGCAGCGTTGATGGGGTCATGGTACTCTGCAATATGCAGATGCAGGTAGTGCTGGTCTGGGAAGTTCTTGTGGCATTCGCTGCAGCGGTTCATGTGGACCTGATGATAGTGGACATCGTGTTCCTCAATGGAAGCAAATGTAAGCGGGTCGTGCGGGGGCAGTGAGCACTTCATGACGGCGTGCTCGTGTGATACAGCGGAATCGGCGTCTAGCTGGACAATCTTGATGTCGACCGATGCCTCACGTGAGTACGAGGTGCTGTAGGCGTCTGGTGACGACGAGTCGCGGTGTGAGCGCTTGACTCCCATGATATTTTTTGTGTGTTTGCTTGCTGGGCTGACTGGAGGGAGGCGTAGTATGAAATTGGGCAGTACCTTTGACTGGCGAGTGCTGGCGCCCGTGTCTTGTGTTGCGAGGCTACCTCAACGGCGCGGGGTGGCAAAGCGAGAATGTGGTGTGATGTGGTGGGCGTTGGGGCAGGCGGGATAGTAGTATGTGTATGTAGTCATAGATGGTATACGTAGTACAGGGAGGACATGGTAGTCGGCCGGGACGTGGCTGCTTAGCTCCGACCTTCATGGCCACTAGTTCGCGACTCAGCCGCCGCCGACTTGACTTTCTCACACCTCTCCACCACGGCCATCGCCTCCCCTTCTGACGCCATACACTTCTGCGTCTTGGGTGCTGTTTGCTTCCGAGACCCTCGCCCGCGCTGATTGTCCTCTACCCAGGGCACGCCACTTCACCATAAATGGAGCACGCCAGCCACAACGCCCGCCGCCTGCTCCGTGCCTTGGTCTGACCTGCCCGCCGACCGTGGGGTCACATCTGAACGTCGCCGGCTCCTGCATACTCCAGCCATGGCCGCCAACACCGAACAACTCGACAGGTGCGCTTTTCCCCCTTGCCCCCATCCCGCCACGCCCACATGCTGACTCACCACAGGCGGGCGAGAGCGATTGCGACGGAGCTCTACAGGCGCGTCGATGGCGGCTCCGGGTGCGCCGAACTAGCTGCCGTGCTGCAAGAGTAGGCGACTACGCCTCCCAATTCCCGCGACTACTAATCCCCTATAGGTACCGTGCCGCCTGCGAGGCCCTCATCTGCAACTTCGAATACGCGACCGCCCACGAACTCCAGACGGCGCTGTGGAACGCCCATCTCAAGGTCAACGCCGCTTTCCGACAAGAACACAAGCTCGTATGCACCATCGAATCTCCACACTTGCAACGGCACTAACACGTGGGCAGCTCAAGCGCTCTAAGGACCATGTCGTGGAGATCCGAAAGTTTCAAAAGACCTATCTC